AGAGAGAGAGAGAGAGAGAGAGAGAGAGAGAGAGAGAGAGAGCACACGAACACATCTGGAAACCTGAAGATGAAGGAGATCAGGGGCATGGGCAGAACTTTCTTGATGGTCGGATTAACTTGGGCAGGGATGTTTTCACATGTTGAAGGCAGAATGATATGATGCAGGGAACCTGGCCATTTGGAAACAGACCTGGGCTTGAATCCCAGCCCTACCATTTAACAATCTCTCTCCACCAGTAATTTTTCTCTGTAAAACAGAGATATTTTATTAAGCTGTTATGAAAATGGAATGAATAACCAGGTAGGAAAAGTACAAAGCAATAGTACTGGCCCCAGATGTGGAACACTCCTCCACATTTTTCTCCCAGTGCTAGGGATTGAACCCAAGACCTTGGGCATTCTAGTAAACGCTCCACCACAGAGCTGTATCCCCAGCTCTTGGCTTTAGAGACAGAGTCTGACTATGACACCCTGGCTGGCCTGGGGCTAATGTTCTCCTGCTTCCACCCCTTGTTTTCCTAGCAGCATCTCCCTGGTGATGGCTCCTGCCCTCCCCTAGATCCACATCCACTTTTCCTATGTCCTCTTCCAAGTAATATTTTGAGAGTAGATATTATTTCATTTGGCTTTGTGAAACTAGTGCCTCATTTAGGGAAAAGAGCCTGTGAGGTTCTCAAGACAGGTTTGTGGAACAATTAAATGTACAAGTGAATGTCCCTAGGCTCAGGGTCAAGCAGAGACTCTGTCCAATGATCTGTGTGCCCTCTTGTCTTTGTCTGGAATATTGATTATGTCAATTTACCTTTCAGTGTTTCCAAAGGTCTTCCATCTTATCTGTTTCCAGTTTCTCACTTGCATTCATGACTGAGAATATGCATATGTAGAGAATGCCTTCAACCTAAGCTCCTTGGAGACCCCATTTTGACTTCCCAGCAAGCCGCTTGCTCAGATAATCACTGAAATTGCCAAGATGTAAGAATCAACCATTAAATTAACTGCTTTTCATACCAAGTGTCAGGAAATTTCAAACAGGTGAGCATGAATCTCATGCAATCACCATGGCAACAGCAGCAGGTTGATGCAATGTTCTCATCTCTCCCATTCTCCTCCGGCCCCAACACTCATACCCTTCACTCAATGCATCGGCATCTGTTCTCTGATGGTCTCAGGATAAAGACCTAGGAACTGAGCCATTCTTCCCAGTGGATTTTGAGACAATAGGATATACACCAGTAACCCTTCTGTTACCAAACAAACACCTGACATGATTTATAAAGACACAACGTTTTGTTTTGCTTCTAGATTTAGGAATTCCAGTCCCCAGTCAGTTGACCTCATTGCCTTTAGGCCTGTGGTAAGGCAGCATATCACAGTGGGTGTGTACACATTGGTGAAACAACTTACTTTACAGTCAGCAGCAAAGGAGAGAGAGAGTGAGACAGAGAGAGAGAGAGAGAGAGAGAGAGAGAGAGAGAGAGAGAGAGGAAACTGGGGTCCCACAGTCTCCTTCACAGACACACCCTAACTCACTCAGAGATGCTAGGCCTCACCTCTGTTGTGTTTGTTGTTTTTAATTCAAACAGAATCTCATTACACAGCCCTGGCTTCCCCGGAACTCTCTTTTGTAGATCAGGCTGGCCTCAAACTCACAGAGAACCATTTGTGTCTGCCTCCATAGTGATGGGATTAAAGGCTTGTGCCACCACAAGTAGGCCTCACCTCTTAAAGGCTCATTACTTCCAATAGCACCAAGTTGGAGACCAAGCCTTTAAGACATAATCAATATACACAAGATACAAACATGGAATAGGGCAAAAGACTATAGATCTCTGAGTGAAACAGGCTCCCTTCACTGCTACAAAATGGGAAGTCTGGAAAAAAAAACCAAAAAAAAAAACCAAAACCAAAAAACAAAAAACCCACCAAGATTTGTGCTTTGTGAAACTGTGTTTGGCAAAAAGATAGGGATACTGGAGTTTTTGCTTTCCTGAATACATAAGGTCACTGAAGATTTCACCACAAGCTGCCATTCCCCCCCCCCCATCCTACCAAAAAAAAAAACCAAAACCAAAAAACAAAAAACCCACCAAGATTTGTGCTTTGTGAAACTGTGTTTGGCAAAAAGATAGGGATACTGGAGTTTTTGCTTTCCTGAATACATAAGGTCACTGAAGATTTCACCACAAGCTGCCATTCCCCCCCCCCCCATCCTGGAACAAATGTGTATCTAGCTGGAAGTTACGCACAGACTCAAGCCTGCCTGGTCTTGGCTGGAATAAATTTCTTTAATTATCCTGTGACCTTTTAAGTATGACTTTTGTTTTTGTATGTTTACTTAAAATATTTGTATTTTTCATTTGTATGCATAAGTGGTTTGCCTGCATGTGTGCATGTATAAATACTTATGCCTGATTCCTGAGATGGTCAGAAGCATGCAAGGGATACCCTGGAACTGGAGTTACATATGGTTGTAAGCTGCCATGTGGGTGTGGGTGCTGGAATTTGAACTTGGGTCCTCTGGAAGAACAACCGGTACTTTTAACTATTGAGCCATCTCGCCAACCCCAGGTCTAACTATAATAAATTGTCTCTATGCTTAGTAAAAATAAATCTGGCTATCTTTGTGTGCTGCATTTAAAAATTTAAAAAAGTTAACTATTGAAACTATATGATGTATTTTCTTTTTTCATTGAAAGAAATTTACTTTAATTTTATGCATGTGGGTATTTTGCCTGCACATATATCTGTGTATCATAAGCATGCCTAGTCTGTGGAGGCCAGTGGAGGGCATTAGATCCCCTGGAACTGGAGTTACAGATGGTTGTAAGCTGCCTGGTCAGCACTGGGAACCTAACCCAGGTCCTCTGGAAAAGCAACAAGTGCTCTTCACTGCTGAGCCATCTTTCCAATTCTGATGGATTTCTCATAACATTTTCACACTGATAGTCTCAGCTAGTCCTCATTAAAATTCTATGAGGTATAGGAACAAAGGACACGTTAGTGATAGGGAGACTGGAGCTGGGGTAGGCTGGACTCACCTGAGATCCCTGGGGCAGATGAGAAAGCACAGGAAGAATAGTGTTGCTAACACTTTTGCTGGTACTGTCTCATTGTTAGAGGCTGTAGTAATCATGACCAGCTTCATTTTACACATGCAGGGAGAAATCTCAGTGGGTGGGCGGCTTGCACAGGCCAGGCCATTGTAAGTAACTATTCAAATTGCAATCCATTCTGGCATTAACTACCTGGGGTCCTAACAACTTAAAAGATATTGTCTCCATGACGTTAATCTACTTAGTAGATGTAGATGGGATCTATAGGTCACCCATTCTCTGACAAAATCACTGCAAATCTGAGTGGAGTGGATTCCCACGACCATCCTCAATTTTGATGAAGTTGCCAGAATGACTCACAGAACTCAAGGAAGTTTTTCACTTACAATTTTATTGTAAAGGATAAAAATCAGGACCAACCAAAGGAAGAGACATAGGGCAAGAGTCTGGAAGTATCCAGAAAGGTGTTTTCTAGTGACTAGTTTCTAGTCCTCTTTGCATGGATGCGTTCACCAACCAATAAGCCCAATGAGCTCCTGCACCCTGCCCCTCCTCCGGCCTTTTATTGAACTTTCATTATGCAACTCCCCACCTGTTCTGGGCTCAGGCTCATGATAGGGAACTAGCTGCTATCCAGAGCCTGCTCATTATCCTAAGCTGAAGTGAGGTCAGGTGCTCCTAGCACCAGGAAATTACAAGTGTTTTAGATGCTTCCGGAAACCTGGAGCAAAGAACTGATAAATCATTATACAACAATAACAGACCCATGTAGCTTTTCCTTGTGCTGAACTCCATCCATTCCAGAGAAACCTGCTCTCACCTGAATTTCTGCCTGTGAATTTAAGCAGGAACTCAAGATCCATTCTGACCTCTTGGATATCTAGAGAGAGGTTTTCTGTACTTCAAAACCACACCCTGTGGAAGGTTCAGGCATTACACTGGCTTACCCCGGTTATCTGGCAGAATGCACTCAGGCAATACCAGCACCAGTCAGCCCAGGGTTCCACGGGTACTAGTTGCAGCAGGTATAAAGGACCCTTTAAAAGACAGACCCCGCCCTCTTACGCTCTCTTACTCTCGTGCTCTCTCTTACCTTCCTGTCTCTCTCCTACCCTCTGTCTCTCTCTCTCACGCCCTAGAATAAACTCTATGTTTAATGTACTCTCCATGGTTCGTGTTCCATCGCGCCGGTTCCATCTCGCGCCTTTTTAATTTTTAAACTTAAAAGAACAACACCCTGTCCTTCCGTTCCCCCCCCCCACTTGAAACCAGACCAATCCAGTTTCCCCAGGATGGAGGTAATGAAGCCATCTCTACCCTAGCACAGAGTTTGTTTTGAGGAATGTGACAAGGCGCCTGAAATTGAGTCACGTGGACAAGGCCAGCTCAGGATGCAGAGGCCTGCATTTATCCTAAATCTGCGGTTTAAACATCCCCTCCCCCGACCCCACACAGAATCTCTCCTAGGTAGCTCTGTTCTAAGACCTGCAAGGTGAAAAGGAGTGGTGGATGGGAAATGATTTCAAAGGAATCAAACCCTGGTAATGAAGTCGGCACAGGAGCAGTGCAAAACCCATTTAAATTATTGATTTGAAACTCTGTCACTGGTGAGCAGGGAAGGTTTTTTTTTTTATTATTGTTTATTATTTTTGTATTGCACACTCCCTATGCACTGTGAACAGTACTCGGATGCCACATACTGCTCAACCATTACCATCCTGTCGATTGTTCTCCAGATCCTTCTCTAACCCGGGCTCTGCAAGAGTGAAGAATTAAGCCGGTATCAAGCTGCCTCCAGTCGCTGGTAATAGCCAGGAAATGTTGCCAGTGTGTTTGCTTGCTCTGTGCTTTATTAAATATTATTTTGTATGATTATGTAATTAAACTGTGATCCTCTGAAACCTGTCATTTCGAAAGCGCAGGGCAGCGGAACAAAGCTAATCAACGAAAGGCTTCATTTACATTAATCCTGCTGGGAGACTGCTCAGGTCATTTCTCTGAATACCCGGGTGACCTTGCTTAGCTTAGTGTAAACATTAGGCTGCTTTCCATTATTAAACCTCTGCTAATTCAGGCCCCCGATGCAGAAGCAAATGCGCTATTAATGATAAACGCTGCAATCACATAAAAGGCTCGCCATGGGATTATAAGTGCAGCCGGATTCAAGCTCGAGCTTCCAGTTTACCTCAGTGTCGCTGCCCTAGGTTGATAAAAAGAGATGGTTTTTTGAAAGAATGAATGTAGAGCTCTGACCTCTGAATCAGCTCCGTACTAGTGCCACCTAGTGGCCATTCAGGAGCCTGCGGTTCCTTCATATTTCTAAGGGGCGGGGCTCTGGGGCTCCACCTTTCTCAGCTTCCCAAATTGGTGTTTTTGTTTGTTTGTTTGTTTGTTTTTGAATTACTTGTGTGAGAGAAGGAAAATGAGGTAGTCATTTTCTTCAAACTGCTGTGAAATTTTAAGTACCCGAGATGGTGAATTTGGGACCTTGGATCATTTTAGTATAGCCCCAAATGTCGTGCCTCCTGCTTCTTTTCCATCCCCAGCTTCCCTGATTCCTGGGGAACCCCATAATGCAAACATTGCCACCTTTGTTCCATACAGGACAGTGTCCTCAGCTGACACCACAGCCCAGAAGGAAATGAGAAAGCCCAGTTGTTCCCCAGAGCAGTCAGTCAATGATTTTATTTTCTCTCTCCAGGTGTTTCTCAGCCACATGCCTGTCAGAGGCTGTTGAGAATCAGTTCCTGCGTGCTGTTCCTGAATGATGTGACGCATCTGCAGCGTGCCCGTGCCTGAGTGCAGAGAATACTAAGTTGATTAGCCATACTTCCTAACTCAGACAAAGACAAAAAGGGCGGAGTAGGGAGACAGGCTCCTCCTGCTACAACGAATAGCAAGTGAGACCGCCATGATGGAGGGCCAGCGGGAGCCGGGCCAGCATTGATCACGGTTTCAATCCTGGATCTGTCTTTTACATAGTTGGAAAAAATGATTTGGCCTCACGGTGATCAGGAGTGAAAAAGAGAGAGCCTTTAAGGCTACCCTTATTGGATGTTGCTGGCCCTGGGGAGCTGGAGGAGGGTCAAAGGCAGGGCATCTTATGTGTTTGGTTTGAGGAACATGCTTGAATTTCATTGATTGGTTCCGAATAGGAAACTGCAGTGAAAGATAAGGAATCTGCCAGTGAGCATTCTGGCATGATTCCTGCAGAATCTGTAATGTGATCTCCCCATCATCTGGGCTGGTGGTGTAGGGCTTCTGAGGTGTCACACACTCGGTTTGGCCACTGCCTGTTTATATAAGATTTTTAGGATGCAGTCAAAGCTAGTCACAGGGTGTGAGTATGCGTAGATACTCGCTAAGTAATCATTATTATTATAGTGCACTATGATAAGAGATGACCCATAAATTGTAATGGAATCAGACCTTAGTGGAAGCCCCCTGGTTCCATTTTGTGTTGCAATAAAACCTGAGGCTGTATAATGTGCGAAACAAGAGGTTTGGTTGACTCAGGATTCTGGCAGACGGTGTATAGATAACACGGTGTGCACATCTGTAGAGTTGTGTCATCCCCCCATCCCATGTCACAGCATGGCAGAGAAGTTAAAAGGGAAGGGATACATTTAAAGAGAGATGTCCCTTGGTGAGACAGAAACAAGAGAGTAGAAAGGGGGACAGTCTTGCTCTTTTATAATAAATTGCTCATGGAAATTACCTGGTCCTGCAAGAATACACTAATCCCTGGGGAGTGATGCCCCATGACCTAGCCCACCAAGCCCCACCTTTTAAAGACACACCACCTCTCAGTCGCCTTACCCAGAGATCAAGTCTCCAGTATAAGGATTATTGAAAGACAGAGTGTAGCCAAACCTAAGCACCTCTCAACAGTGTTGTTCAAGTTCAAGTCAGGAGACTAGACACAGTGCCAGTTACATGTATTTGTGTATGTCCATATGACTGGTGCTTGCACACGAGTGTCTGAGTGTGCATGACCATGTATGTGCATTTGGGCCTATAGCAGGACATAACGGGTCTTCCTCTATAGTTCTTGGCCTTGTTGACTTGAATCAGGGTCTCTCACTGAACTGGAGGCTCACTATATTGCCTAGCCAGCCAACTTTCAGGGTCTTCCTTTCCCTGCCTCTTAATGCTATGTTTACAAGCACGTGTAGCCATGCCTAGTTTTCTATGTGGGTGCTGGGGATTTGAACTCAGGCCCTCATGCTTGCAGAGCAAGTGCTCTTACTCACTGATCCATCTCCCTATCCCCCATACCAGTGATATTAACAGAGATAATTTCCTAGGGAAATCAGTTGCTGGGATTTGGAGACTGGGAAAGCAGAAGGTGACAATAAGGAAAGTTGCAGAAGGAAGCACTGCTTTTCTTAGGGGAAGACATGGAGGGAGGCTAGAAAACTCAGAAGCCCAGAATTAGAGCTTCCAGTGTGCCCAGACCGCTGAGGGGAGTGGTGGCACTGGGATGGCGCTGGTGCCTCTTGAGTTCAGAGGAGGCTCTACAAGACTGGAGCTCGAACTTCCACATACTGGCAGACCAGAGCAGTGTGTTAGTGTGTTTGCTCGCTAGTGTGGTGATAAAATACCCAACAAAGCAATTTAAGGACCAGGGGGTCTCTTTGAGCTCATGGATGGAGGGTTTGGTCCATCATGGTGAGGAAGTCACAGTGCTAGAAGCCTGAGCCTGAACACATTGTATCTGAAGTTCAGGAAGTGGACCATGATGTATGCTGATGCTCAGCTCACTGTCCTTCTCCTGCAGCCTGGGGCCCTGACCTACAGAGGGTGCTGCCCACCCCTAGTGTGCTCTTCCTATATCAATTAACCCACTATTGAAACTCCCTCACAGATGTGCCCAGAGGTTTGTCTTCTAGATGACTCTAACTAATCACAAGCAGGTACATGTTTTCCCTCCAGGTAGTTTCATTTTCGTTTACCAACTGGTGATATAAAACTTTTTAATATGCAGGAAATATGAATAAATTTGGGTTTATATAACCCGAGAGCAGTTACTACTACTATAAAATAAGAGTAATGTAATACACACTCCTTTCCTGATACTTCAAAAGCTGTATCAGTATCATTAGTGTGTTCTTACACATCTGGGGACCTATAAAAAGCATGTCAATCAAACTTCACCCTGAAGTCGAGGTGGGGGTACCCGGATACCCAGATTATGATAAAGCACTTTATGCCTGAATAAAACTGAGACTCTGTGAATGAATGTAGAATGCTGGTGAACAGCTGTTGCCTGTTTTTGCCACACACACCATTCTGGGTTCTGCTTTGTGATATTGAGCCCGGGGCTCATTTCTCTACAGCCTCCTTTTTTACGGGGACACTGGAGAAGGACTGGAAGTCAGGAGGAGGTAGTTAGCATCTTCCCCTTCTTGGGGCTTGTTAGTCCCACCTGTGTTGCTGTGACAGCCATTCTTCACTAGCAGGTCATTCCAGTGTCTCCCATTCTCCCTGTACCAGCTTCCTGGTGCCTCTGCTGAAAGATGCACCTGCTGTATGTACACATTGCAGTCCTTAGGGAGCTGTGGCTCTACTCTCCCCAAACCCAGCCTCTTACTTCTGGGGCCCTGCTTTTGCTTCTGGGTTTTTATGCAAAGGACCAGGTAATACTGCAGTCCTTAGGGACCTGTGGCTCTACTCTCCCCAAACCCAGCCTCTTACTGCTGGGGCCCTGCTTTTGCTTCTGGGTTTTTATGCAAAGGACCAGGTAATACCACTCATTAAATATTTTGGAGGGTTTTGCCCTTTGAAAGTAGGCAAGCAGTTAATAACTGCAAGTTTAAAAAATTACATCTACTTACTACATGAGCCTGTATGTGTACATGTGTGCATGCCTCACAGACACATGTAGAGGCCAGAGGATAAACTATGGGAGTGGGTTCATATGTCTTACTGTGTGGAGCCTTAAGTTTAAAAAATTACATCTACTTATTACATGAGCCTGTATGTGTACATGTGTGCATGCCTCACAGGACACATGTAGAGGGCAGAGGATAAACTATGGGAGTGGGTTCATATGTCTTACTGTGTGGAGCCTGAGAATTGAACTTGGGTCATTGGGCTTGGTGGTTAAGCATCGTTATGGTGAGCAGTCCTGCTGGTGTCGGTAGCTTCCTGTACACCCACCTCTTGCACCTGCTTTTCTCCTAAATCTGGAAACACAGTAACTTGGAGAAAAGCTCCAAATGTCTTGTACAGTGACAGGCGTGGGGAGACACTCCTCTCCTCCTTTCTCTTGATTTTCTTCACAGATCCAAGAGGTCCCCAGAGAATGTTCCAGCCCTTTCCCTTAATGACACTAGGGGTGGGAAGAGCAGGAGTCTGCTTGCGTTTCCGGTTAGAACCTCCTAGATTGCCTCTCGCCTGTGACACTGTAGGACTGAAGGTTTCTGGTTAGAACCTCCTAGATTGCCTCTCGCCTGTGACACTGTAGGACTGAAGGTTTGGCCCATCCCACTTAGGGAGTAGTAGCTCTTGTTTACATCCATCCAGAAGTTAGCACCAAAGATAAAATGAGGCCTTTGGCAAGCCAAGCTGATCAAACTTGGTTCCTGCCCTAGAGCAGGTTCAATCTACTAGGGACACACTCAGTGTAACAGTGTGAACCTAAGCCTAAATATTCTCATCATGCAATCAATCATTGGTGCTTTAAGCCTTCTGTGAAGGTCTCAGGAGGCTGCTGGAGGGAGTATATGACAACTGAGTGGCACCCCAGACACATCAGCCCATGTGGGGGGGCACAAATGCGTCTGAGGACATCTGGACATCTGTGTTTAGGAGCCTATAGGGAGGTATATAAAGTCAGGGCAGAGTGTTGGACATGCAGGGTCACTAAGATGGAGACCTGAGGTAATGAACTTTCATGGGGAGAGAGAGACTGGCTCCTACAGGACCTGGGATGACACCTTACAGAGACCACAGGAAGCTGGCTGGGATGAGCCCCATCTGCAGCATAGACAGCTCACACCAGCAGTTGTGTGAGAGAGTTGGCAAGATCTGAGGCAGGAAAGTGGCTACAACGATGTGTCATAATACTAGCTGGTGGCTCTAAAGATGTGTCAGAGATGTTCCACTGTTTTGTGAGCCAAACAGTGATTCAAAGTAGTGGGTACAAGTGAATAAAATTTGTGCCCAAGCTGCTTCTTGGAATATATCATCCAGCAGAGACACTGGGTTTGACCTGAGAAGACACTGCAAGGAAAGATGATGCATCTAGCAGACCAGGATAGGAAGGGCCAATGGGAAGCAAGGCTGGGGGTGGTGCACAGTTTGGAGGGTGTCATATACCAGTGTCTGTGTGCCATTGCTTAAGCTACTGAAAACTGGTGTCCACGTGAGGCCGTGTGTTAGGAAGTCTAATCTGGGTGCTGTGTGTAGGAGGCGTCAGAATAGGAAGGGAGCCGTGTCAGTGACTCTTCTTGTTGCCATGACAAACACCTGACAAGAAACATGGTAAGAAAGGAAGGGCTTACAGTTAGAGGGGATACAGTTCATGAAGGCTGGGGACGAATTGTGGCGGGAGCATGAGACAGGGGGGCACAGCAGATACAAAACATCAAGTCCCGCCCACACTGACTCACTTCCTCCCACGAGGCTCTGCCCACTAAAGGTTCTGTGACCTTCTGAAATAGAATCACCAGCTTGGGACCAAGAGTTCAAACACGTGACCCCGTGGGGACATTTTATGTTCAAGGCACAACTTTGTAGCCCCGCAGCAAAACTAGCGTATTGGCAAGTGATAGCCAGGGTCAGAAACAGCAGATTGGCATTAAAAGAGTAGCCCCGCAGCAAAACTAGTGTATTGGCAAGTGATAGCCAGGGTCAGAAACAGCAGATTGGCATTAAAAGTGGGAGTGGGCAGATGAACAATGTTCAGGGAGTGAGAGACCTGAGCACTCAGCCCTAAATGGACATCTTTACCAAACTCCTCCCCTCAAAGCTCAGGAATCTATGTGGAAGAGGAGGAGAAAGGTTGTAAGAGCCAGCAGTGGTGGATGTCTCCAAGGAAACGGAGACTTCCAGACACCAACAGGACTGATGCCCATATGAATTCAGAGGCTGTGACAGCCTGCATAGGTTCAAGCCAGATGGCTTCCCAGCTCTAGGAGTGAGAAACAGGCATAGGGTCTCATTTCTAACAAAGAAGCAATCTGTAATTGATACCCAACAGTGAAGAGAATGTCAGTTTTCTCCAGTGGCTCTCACTGGGTATACCAACCACACTTCAGGGCCAGCCCCGTGCTTAGGAGTAGCTGGCCAACACAAAATGAAATCCATGAAGTTTTTGTGGACGTTTGCTTCATTTTGATTTGTTTGTGCCTTTTTTTTTTTGTTTCGTCTTTTGCTTGTTTGTTTTGATTTTTGTTTCTTTATTTTCATGGCTTGTTTTTTAAAATATGTATTTGAGAGACAGGGGACCAGAACTTAAAGTTGAGTGGGTAGGGAGGTGGGAAGGATCTTGGAGGAGCTGGTAGAGGGAAAAACATGATTGAAATATATTGTATGAAAAAAATTTCAATTAAAAAAAGAGAAAGTGGGTATGGGGCGTTGTGTTTGTAAGGAAGACTGCTGAAGTGAAGGCCAGTGATGGGGAAGTATTGGGAGGGAGAGGTCAAAATTCCATGGGAATTTGCTCATTGAAATGAGAAGGATGTAAAATGGAATCAGCGCCTTTCCTCAGCTGCCGCCAAGGTGCTCGGTTCTTCCGAGGAAGCTAAGGCCGCACTGGGGTGAGGCCCTCACTTCCGCTACATGGCCTCCGTTTCTGAGCTCGCCTGCATCTACTCTGCCCTCATCCTTCACGACGACGAGGTGATGGTCACGGAGGATAAGATCAATGCCCTCATTAAAGCAGCTGGTGTCAATGTTGAACCTTTCTTGCCTGGCCTGTTTGCAAAGGCCTTGGCCAAAGTCAACATTGGGAGCCTCATCTGCAACATATTGACTGGTGGACCTGCGCCAGCAGGTGGTCCTGCCCCCTCTACTGCTGCTGCCCCAGCTGAGGAGAAGAAAGTAGAAGCAAAGAAAGAAGAATTTGAGGAGTCTGATGATGACATGGGCTTTGGTCTTTTTGACTAAGCCTCTTGTTAACATGTCCAATAAAAAGATGAACCTTAAAAAAAAAAAAAAGAAATGGAAACAGCAAGAGAAAGGGTAATTTTAGTGTTAGTAGCTAGTATCTGAAAAATAGACCTTTCCCAGTTTGTATCTATATGATGTGTCCTGCAATGAATATAAAATCAGCCCATGATTTCAGATGAGACCCTGAAGCAGGTGGGAAGGGGACAAAGGAGTGTGGGGTAACACTCCATGACAATGGAATGCTGGCAGTGATTGATTTTCACCACAATCGTAACCATAACAGTGCTCCACTTACTCTGCATTTCTGTTTGAAAGGGCTCCACTAGGCAAATTTCAACGAGTAGTCAATGAAATTAGCCTACAAATTAGTTTCTGGTAGTACTATATACACTAGTACAATATTCTGAAAAGCAATAAAAGATGTGGCAAATTCCACTCCCAGGAATTTATCCTAAGGAAATGCGTGGTTTTTTAAAGCCAAAGCTGGAGGCTTTTAGTTCATTTTAGTGTTATTTGTGCTAACCGGAAATAGTGAAGGCACAAAACGCCAATGGAAGGACATTGTAGATGATGCTGTGAGGATTCAACGAATCTATTAAAATGCAAATTACCATTAAGTGTCTGGGGGAGAAACATGAAGACATGTTTGATAGGATAAGCGAGAGTATTATGCTTTGCTTGCTTCAGTATAACTAAGTACATGCATGCATTGGGTAGAACTTGGATCCTGATAGGAAAAAAATGAAGGCAGATGCTGTGGTCAGTCACTTGGGCTCAGTGGTCAGGATGCTGCACTCAAATCCAGCAATGTACTAGCTTGTGACCATGCATTGGTGCAACACAAGGGTGCCACTTAAAAGTCCTTTCAATAAAAGCACCTGCCACTAAAAGTTGTGGATATTTCAATGAAATAATCTACATAGAGCAAATGGATCCACGGCAGTGTTGGACTAATGATACCCACTAATGATACACATGTATGATTGTTTTTGGCCTGCATATATGTAGGTACACATATGAATGTAGTGCCTGTGGAGGCAGAAAGAGGATGTAGAATCCCCTGGAACAAAAGATTGTAAGCCACCATGTAGTTGCTGGGAACCTAACCCAGAATCTTCTGCAAAGCCATGAAGCCATCTCTCCAGGTTCCATTTTTTAGTTTCTACTAAAACTACCTCTGATTTTTTTTTAATGTTCAAGGGATGCAGTTCTCTCTCTCTCTCTCTCTCTTATTAAAAAAGATTTATTTATTTATACAGCATTCTCTGAATGTATTCCTGCAGATCAGAAGAGGGCACTAGATCTCATTATAGATGGTTGTGAGCCACCATATGGTTGCAGGGAATTTAACTCAGGATCTCTGGAAGAGCAGCCAGTGCTCTTAACCTCTGAGCCATCTCTTCAGCCCTGGATGTAGTTCTCTTTAATGGAATTAAGTAAAATTACTCAAAACATTGAGACAGAACTGTTAGGACAGGGTTCGCTGTTTTGTCTTTGTGGGTTTTGTTTCTGGTTTACTGTGTTTTCAATTTACTTGACATCTGATGACTCTAGGAGTGAAATAAATATAATGTTAAAAAAAAAAGAGAGAACAGAAAACCTTCACTCCTCGTGCCTTTCTGGCTTTAAGCTTCTTTTCTGCCTCAACTATTTGAAGCATAGATACAATTAACTTCTTGTGCTTTCTCTCCTAAATGGTAGGTATGTTCAGGATTAGACATAGGTGTCAAGAGGGACACTGCCAGGCTCAGATTCAGATGGGGATGGCTGTGAATTCTGACCAATTGCCATGAAAGGTTTGTACTACTGGCCAAGGGAGGAAGGGGGAATGCCAGTCCTTCCTGCATGGCCCCCAGCATACTATCACCCTACCTGAGATGTGGGTGATGCTGATTTTGTTAGAGCTCTGCTGGTTTCCATTACTTGTCTCTGTCCTGCTTATTCCATGTAGCGAGGATGGTCCCTGGTGCTTGCAATGGTCAGAAGACACACAGCTGACACATGACCATCCTATTAACACCCAGCTTTAGAGCAAAGGAGAGGAGAGGCCTCTCCAGTGCCAGGCGTTCACCACAAAGGATCTGAAAGCCCTGCAGAGCAGACCCTGGCTCGTCAGCAGCTTTGCTTCTGGCTGCTTGGAGCATACTCTTGGAACCAGTCCAGCACTCTGCTCTAATGACCTGGTGTGTTGTCTGCATCATGAATGAAAAGACTGATGATGTTCCAAGCATCAGCTTGATGGAAGACTGGGTTGGACCTGTTCCCGGGGCACTGGGTCTATGCAGGAGCTCAGGTACCTGCTGTTCCCTATATGCTTCAGAGCACAGTGGGACTTACAGTGTGCATCCAGCAATGACGCCTGTAGGACCAGTTCTTCAAAACACCACTGGTGTTCACAGAGGCACTCATGGTTGGGTTGCTCATTGTAGTGTTCTTTTAGTAGCAAAGGACTGAAAAGAAACCAAGTATCTACAAGTAAGAAATGGTCTAAATGAGCTGTGGCACATGAATAAAAATACATGAAGAGAGTTCCCAGCAAGCTTAAGGGCAAAGATGGCTGTTCCAGGAATGTAGGTTAGTTAACATAGGCTGGTATTGTAAGCATGTACTGTGAAAAGGGATATAAGGGCTGGTAAATGGCCCAGTGCAGTAAGAATGCTTGCTCAGAAAGTAAGACAATCTGAATTCAAATCTCTAGTACCCACATAAAATCAAAGCATGGATGCTCTTGCCTACAACTCTGGCATTGGGAGGCAAAGATAAGGGGATCCTTGGAGATTGCTGGCCAGCCAGTCTAACCAAAAAAGGGCAGCTTCAGGTTCAGGGAGTGAGTTTGCTTAAAAAATAAGGTGGAGAATAACAGAAAAACATCTTCCTCTGGCCTCCATATGAGCACACAAACAAGTACAACAACAACAACAACAACACACACACACACACACACACACACACACACACACACACACATTCACAGATACACTCACATAGACACACATACACCCACTCACAGACACACACCCATACACATACCTACTCATAGACACAATCACACAAACAGACACATTCACAGACACATTCACACAGACAGACAGACAGATAGACACACACACACACACACACACACACACGGGGTGAGGATGGGGAATTGATTTATTCTACTGGTTCAATGTTCAGTGATGAATTGGTGAAAGGAAGTCAGAAACCACACAAAGAGAGAACAGCCCCTAGAATAAGTACAGCATTGCACAAGGTAAGGATGGAAACGGAACTACATGAACAATAATTAGAGCCTTTGTAGTGTGAGCATTATGCTGCAATCTGCATTCTGTGTAGCTATTGAGCAAAGAGAAAAGAGGGTGGAAAGGTATATGCATGGGTTGGCAGGTGTGCTAGGAAGCAAATGTGCTTTTTTAATGGTGGGAGTCAAACGGAAAACACTTGAGGCTGAACATAGAATAAAAAACAAAAGCTAGATCCCAGGTGGATCTCTGTGAGTTCGAGGTCAGCCTGGTTTACAGGACATCCAAGGCTACAAAAGAAACCTTGTCTTGAAAAACAAAAAACAAAACAACAACAACAAAAAAACCACAGGCAAGTTAACTAAGGAAGGGCTGGAGAGGTGACTCAGCTGTTGAGATCACAAACCACAAGCAAGTTAACTAAGGAAGGGCTGGAGAGGTGACTCAGCTGTTGAGATCACTTGTTACCCTTCCAAAGGACCTGAGTTCGGTTCCCAATACTCATATCAGGTGGCTCACAACCTTCTGTAACTACAGCTCCAGGGCATCCAATGTCTTTGGATTTCAAGGGCACTTGAACTCATGTTCAACAACCACCCCCACTCCTACACATAATTACTGAAAATATAAAGAACTAAGACAATCAGGCCAATGAGATGGCTCAGTGGGAACAGGTGCCTGCTGACAAGCCCAACTACCTTAATTCGATTCTTGGAACCCACAGGTGGAAAGAGAGAACTGGGTGCTGCAAGTTGTCCTTTGACATGTATGTTGTAGCATGTATAACACTTCCACACATAAATAAAAAATTAAAATGAATTAATAAAAAGAACTAAGGAAATCAAGTAAAAAAAACTTAATTGGTTTCTTTGGGAATGACTGATCACAAGCCCTGTAGAAAAGTTTCAGGTTTTAGATATAAATATTAATACCTCATACATATTTTTAAAAATTCAATTAAGTAGCAATAAAATATTTTGAAACATAATTAAATAATGTAACAAAAGCCTTTGTGCATTTTTATACCACTTCACAAATGTTCATAGTTAACAGCTTTGTGGAGATGGTATAAGTCACTTAATATGGGTATACAGGAGGTTTATGTTATTTGTATGTAGAGAGATTGATGGATAGATGATCAGAAAATGCGTAAGAAAAAGTCACCTTAAACCCATGGCCTCCAGGCTCTTCGTGGTGGAGAACTCAGCTGGTGGGCCTTCCGGCATGCCTTCTGCAGCATGAGGGTCTATGCTGTCTAAAACACTAGTTAATTTTAAATGGAGCTTTTATGCAGCACTGGGCACAGAACTCAGAGCCTTATTCACGAGGGGCAGGCATTTTACCTGCCCACTGTGTACTGGGGCTTTTCCACTGAGGAATTCATCAAGCCTACAAGTCTTCTCACCTCCTTACAGTTGCTACATGAGTCTGGAAAAGGATACGGAAGTGATGGCCATCTTACCCACTGGCCCTCTTCCCTAACTTAATAAGCACCCAAGGCACACACAAGGAATTCTTTCCTCTCTTTTACTAGAGCTTATTTCTGGGTGGACCTGAAAACACATGAGCTTCTGTTTCTCATCCCCAGCTTAATAAATAAAACAAGTCTTTGGAATCATTAAGTCTTAGTAGATATTTATGTCTAAATGTCAATTCCTCCGTAGTTAAAATGATTGCAGCAGAGGGTTTTGCTAAAGGGAAGAGCTGGCTGCTAAAGGTTCTAGAATCAACTTGGGAGGGGAAATATGTGGGTGCAAAAGGAGGAAAATTACACCAAAAATGTCCAAGTGCCCTAAAAATGACTGTAGTCTTGTGTTTTTTTTTTTTTTTTTTTTTTTTTTTTTTTTTTTTTTCACACAGGGTTTCCAGCTGACCCTGAAGCTAATGGATTCACTAAGACTAACTGGCCAACAAACTCCAGGGGTCTACCTGTTGTTATTTCCTCAGTGCTAGAATTACAGGTAGGTGCTATTGAATCTGACTTTTTTCATGGGTACTGGAAATTTGAACTCAGATCCTCATGCTTATACATCAAGCACTTAATTGGCATCTATCTCCCCAACCCCAAGCCTGACATTCTCTGTGGGTCCTCCCTTACCGCCCCCTCCCCCAACTAAAACCCTATCTATCACAAATCCTTTCTGCTCCCCCTGGATGGTGAGGCCTTCCATAGGGTGTCATCAATCTATTGTATCCTTTGGGATAGGGCCTAGGCCCACCCCCAATGTGTCTTGGCTCAGGGAGTATTCCTCTGTGTGGAATGGGCTCCCAAAGTCCACACCTATGCTAGGGATAAGTACTGAACTTCTACAGGAGGTCCTCTAGATTTCTGAGGTTTCCTCACAGAAACCCATGTTCCTGGGGTCTGGATCAGTCCCATGCTGGTATTCCAGCTATCAGTCTAGGGAGCAAGAGTTCCCCGATGTTCAGGTCAGCTGTTTCTATGGGTTTCACCAGCCTGGTCCGGACACAATGTAAATTTCTTGAGGGTGATGATTTTTTTTAAAAAAGATTTATTTATTTCTTTTCTGTATATATGCCTTTAAGAGGGCATCAGATCCCACTATAGATGGCGACGAGCCACCATTTAGTTGCTGTGAATTGAACTCAAGACCTCTGGAAGAGCAACCAATGCACTTAACCTCTGAGCCATGCATGTCTCCAGCCCCTAAGGGTGATGCTCTTAACAGCGTTACATAGGAGAGTACCTTTTGATCTTAGGAGGTATTTGTTCAAATATTTGTGGAAAAAATGTGTTACATAAATGTTTTCTTCTATGTGTTAAAAACAAGTATATAGAATACAATGTATAATGAATTCAGTATTATGCATTGATGGTACAGTAAGCAGCTGTTATGCATTAAGTACTTTTTTAGGCACTAGGGTACCAACAGGGAGCAAGCAAACCAGATGCTTGCCTTCATCAGCCTATATTATTTTGAGAAGGAGAAAAACACATCTCCCTGTACCAAGTTATAAAAGCTATCCAGCTTCTTCATCAGGACCAATGCACTTACTGTCTATAATGCCTATTTCATATTCTTTCTCTGGAATGCCCTTGGCTGCAAGGAAAAGGCTGGCCCATCTTTACCAGTTCCCCACTGGGGGATGCCAACATGCAGTGATATAGTCTATAGATTGTCACAGATGCCCAAGCTCTCATCCCAGTATAGGATCACTCTGAAGGGCCATCCTGACTCCAAAGTCCCCTTTAGCTTCAGGGCAACTGTGTGCAGCTTCTCCCAAGCCCTGATCTATTCCTCTTTCTCTCCTGAAGGTGTTTCTAAGATTTGCCCCAATTAACTCCCATAATTCAGACCTTCCCTTCTCAGAATCCATTTCCTACAGAACCTGCCCTAGGGCTAGGGTCAGAGGTTGATGCTTTTTCGGTACAGATCATACCTGGGATTTAACCCCCAGTGTGTACACACACACACACACCCTGCCCTAAAGTGCTGTGCAATTCTAGGGCTCTGGCCAGACTTGACTACCACCATCTTGAGTGGAAGTGTTGTTTTTACTAGTTATACAGGCACACATTCCAAGTCCTACAAGATAAACAAAATCATTAAGCTTGTCACCTGAGCATTTCTGCATCATGCCCCAACTATTTCTTGACTGATGTCTGACAGGTTAATAGGTACATTCTGGTTGACTGCCTGATAAACATCTTGCTCCTGCTGTGGGGTGCAGGAACTCTCCCAAGTGGCACTTTGGTCCATAGGACACCAACACATTGCACTTTATACAATTTTAAATTTGTCTGCTCTATTGACACCTGCGTTTGGTGGCTGGTGCTCATATACAGGAACTAGATTTTTCTGCAATAGCAGTACAGTGAGCATGAGGTTATACATGATTCAACAGGGAAAATTAAAGATCGGAGAGCTATTGTCTTAGTAAATTTGGGCAAATCCCTGGTACAGCCTGGGGACAAGAAACAAATACCCGAGACAAAACAAAAGTATCTGTTCTAGTTTGGTTCATGTTACTATGATAAAACACTACCCTGAAACAACTTGGGAAGCAAGGGGTTTACTTGTCTTTCACTTCCAGATTACAGTTCAACACTGAAGGAAGCCAAAATAGGAACTAAGGCACAGACTGAAGCAGAGACAGTGGAATTACTGGCTTGCACTCTTCGGTCCACATTTAGCTATCTTCTTTATAGTTCCTATGTTACGATAAATCTTTCTGCCAAAAGCCGCCGAGCCCCACCACCATGTTTGAGCTTTACGCCAGCCACCCGCCCGAGTTAGGCCCAAATGAATACACAGAAACTTGTATTAGGTACAATGCTGCTTGGCCAATGAGTAGGATTCTCAATTTCCTCTCTTAGATATGAGTCTCCTTGCCATGTCACTTCCTGCCTGGATCATCACTTCCCTACTACATTTCCCAGAATCCTCTTTGACTCCTAGTCCTTGCTTGCCATTGGCCAAACAGTATTTTATTCAACAATCAATAAGATAAACATACAAAAAAGTACATTCCCCATCATTCCTAGGAGTGCCTGCTCCTGGGGTGGCAACACCCATAGTGGGTTGGGCCCTCCTAAGACATTCAACAATCTAAGAAAATGCCACACAGACATGCCCACAGGCTAATCTGATGGAGGTGTTCCCTCAGTTGAGATCTTCTCAGGTGACTCTAGTTTGTGTCAAGTTGTACAGTGCTTTTGTACTGGTGTGTGTGTGTGTGTGTGTGTGTGTGTGTGTGTATGCATGCTCACATGTGCGTGCAGGTGCGTGTGCACATGTATGTGAGGGCCTGAAGTTAGCATGCATTATCTTCCTTGATCACTCTTTCTTTATTGAGGCAGGTGTTGGCATCCCTGGCATATGCCACACCTGCCCAGCTTTTATGTAGAGGATCTGAACTCCAATCTTCAAGCTGTATGGCAAGGGCTGTTTATGCACTGAGCCACCTCTCTAGGGCCCTAGTTACAGTCTTGCTATATGTCCTAATCCAGCTTCTTCATAATTTTCACATTAAAAATTTGTTTAGAGCTGGTGGTGGTGGTGGTGGCGGCGGCGCTCGCCTGTAATCTCAGCACTTGGAAGGCAGAGGCAGGCGCATCTGTGCATTTGAGGCCAGCCTGACCTACAGAGTGAGTTCCAGGATGGCTAGGGACCTGTTACACAGAGAAAGTTTGTCTCACCCCCCCCCCAATTGTTTTGAGATAGACTTTCAAGTATTCTAGGATGGCTTGGACTCATTACTTCAACCTTCAGAATGCAGGGATTAGAGATGCAAGCAACCATTCCTGGTACATGGTGCTGAACATCAAACTCAGGACTTCATATATATGGCAGGCAAGTACTCTACAGCAACTGAACTGTATCTCCAGTCCCTGGCTAAAAACTTTTGTTAAAGTTTTTGGGCCATATATTTTACTTTGCTTGCAACTTTTTTTCTTAGTGGGAAAGACAAAGCCTGAGGCAAATTCTCAGATACAGGGAGAGGAAAAGCACATATCCTCTCTCTACCCTTCTCCTCCTTTTCCTCTTCCTCCTTTTAATAAATGCATAAAGCAGGACAGCCTTGGCAAGTGATTATGGATAATGGGCCTGCAAAAGCCACCCACCTTTTCCTGCTCTATTTATGGTTTTATTTCTGAAAACCAGCTGGTTTTATGAGAGGCCAGAAGCAGTGAGGGCTGAATTCTGGCCTCTGTCTCTTACTCCATCACCATAATGACCATGCCTGCGGCACTGGAGAGAGAGTGGAGAAGTACTCACAGGAGAAGACATTCTGATCATCGCAGGGTTATAATGTCTTCTGACAGCCGTGGGTGGGAGGAAATGATGAAGCTGAGAACTGTGCTATCATTTCAGTCTTCCTTGTTTGAGCACAGCAAGATGCAGGCAGCATCCTCCCAACACTGTCTGTGCCGGTGGAGCGAAATCTGAGATTGGCACTCGTGTTGATTTGAGAGCCCCTGACTGTGTTCACCTTCCGTGTTCATCAGGGCAGGTTGGGCAGTAGCGACAAGCTTTTTGATAGACCGGGGAGGACAGAAGCATTCTAGTTTGGTTCATTTAGAAACAGTTGTCTCTCAGGTTTCATTTGTCAGATTGGCCAAGAGAATACACAGCCATGTATATTAAGCTGATGCATGTTCCAAATTTTGTTTATATTGCTGTGATAGAGCTTATCATGACCTGGGAGGAAAGGACTTATTTTATCTTTTTTTTTTTTTTTAAAGATTTTATTTATTTATTATGTGTACAACATTCTGCTTCCATGTATATCTGCACACCAGAAGAGGGCCCCGGATCTCATAATGGATGGTTGTGAGCCACCATGTGGTTGCTGGGAATTGAACTCAGGACCTCTGGAAGAGCAGTCAGTGCTCTTAACCTCTGAGCCATCTCTCCCGCCCAACTTACTTCATCTAGAGAAGCCAAGGCAGGAACTCCAGGCAGGAGCTTGAAGCAGAAACTACAGAGAAATGCTGCTTACTGGCTTGCTGTTGGCTTATTTTTAGCTATTTTCCTTCCTTCCTTCCTTCCTCCCTTCCTTCCTTCCTTCCATTTATCTATTATCTATCTTTCTATCTATCTATCTATCTATCTATCTATCTATCTATCTATCTATATTGTTTTACATCCTGACTGCAGCCTCCCTCATTCCTCTCCCCCCACCCCCACCCGCCTCTCCATGTTAGCTCAGAAAGGGGCAGCAGAGATGGCTCAGCTGTTAAAGGCTAAGCTTACAACCAAAAATCAGCTACCTTTCTTATGCAGCTCAGACCCACCTACCTAAGGATGGTATTGCCTCAGTGGGCTGGGCCTTTCTACATCAATTAGCAATCAAGAAAACACCCCACAGACATGGCTATGAG